GAAACCAGATGGGACAATTGATAGATGCAAGGCAAGATTGGTGGCCAAAGGGTACAATCAAGTTGCTGGGGTAGACTATTTTGAAAGCTTTCCTCCAGTAGCCAAGTTGGTTACTGTCATAATTTATTTAGCTGTGGCAATTGCATTTTCTTGGCCAATTCACCAGCTAGATATAAATAACGCTTTCTTGCATGGATTTCTCACAGAAGAAGTTTATATGTGGCCTCCAGAAGGGTATACAAAGGCTAAAGAAGGAGAAGTTTGCAAGTTAAGGAGATCTCTTTATGGCCTTAAATAGGCTTCCAGAGAATGGAATTCAGAACTTTGCAAGAAATTGCAAACTTATGGTTTTCTGCAATCACAACATGATCATTGCCTGTTTACTTTGAAATCTTCCACCTATTTTTTCTAGCTCTACTTGTGTACGTGGATGATGTTTTAATTACAGGAACTTGTGAAGAGTAGATCTTAGCTGTGAAGAAGTTTTTGGATATTGAATTCACCATCAAAGATCTTGGTCTTGCAAGATACTTCTTGGTAATTGAGAATGCACGTAGTGATTCTGGCACTTATATTAATCAAAGAAAATATGTTTTAGATATTGTTACAGATGTTGGATTATTGGGTGCTAAGCCTACTGCAAGTCCTCTACCTAAAGGCCATAAATTCTCTTCTCAAGTAGGAGATCTTTTACTTGATCCTGACAAATATCGTAGATTGGTGGGAAGATTATTATATTTGAATCTTACTCGACCGGATTTGACTTATGCAGTTCAACAATTAAGTCAATTCGTTAATTTACCCTGCAAAAGCCACTGGGAAGCAGCTCTACATGTTGTTAAATACTTAAAGGGCACACTCAGTAAGGGTCTTTATTTTCCTGTCCAGAATTCTTTCAAGTTACAAGCATTCAGTGATGCTGACTGGGCTTCCTGCATTGACACTCGTCGTTCACTCACTGTATTCTGTATTTATCTTGGTCACTCTCTTATCTCATGGAAAACAAAAAAACAAACCACAGTGTCACGTTCTTCAGCAGAGGCTGAATACCGCAGCATGGCTTCCATAGTCTATGAGTTGCAATGGATAACTTATATTCTAAAAGATTTGCAAATTCCACCGCATCTTCCCATTCCTTTGTGGTGTGACAATCAGGCTGCCCTCCATATCACTGCCAACCCTATTTTCCATGAGAGAACCAAACATTTGGAGATTGACTGCCACTTGGTTCGCAATCAATTCAAACAGGGATTTGTTCGTCCTGAGCACATCTCTACTAAACAACAAGTGGCAGACATATTTACCAAAGCTTTAGCTCCTCCTCAATTTCATTTGATGCTATCCAAGTTGGGCATGACGGATTTCCATCATAGTCCAACTTGAGGGGGGGATGTACAATACCTGTATATTCTTCCCGCATACTCAGTGCTGCTCATAGCTCATTACAACTCATCATTTAGTTAGTTATTAGTTTTATATTACTTTTATTTTATAGGGTGAGGTGGCAAATTGGTTAGAGAGTTTGTTATTTTCTACATGGTTATTTTTTGTGGGCTTGTATATATATGTAGAGAGAAGGACCTTTGTTTTTCATTGGCTTCTGGAATAATATTTTAGAGAGCTTTTCCTTCTCTTCATTCTTTCTTTGCTCAATAACAAATTGAAAACCAAAAAAATCATACATTTAATGATCAAAACGAAATCAGGATGCCTACCTACTGAGAGTTCTGATGGTGCTGCAACGTATATTGGCGTTTGGCGGCAGCAAGGCGTGATGTCCAAAGATCGGAATCTTTTGAAGACTAGATGTTGGAGACAATTAAACAAATATGTTTTCACTTCTAAATGATCAATAAAAAAATATAATTTCAAAACCACCCAGTATGAAAATATACAATCTTTTCAGTTTTCACTTTTCCTCTCTTCCTCTTATTCTTCTCATATTTTTCTGGTTTTCTTCGTTGATCTGTTTCTGGTTTATTTGACTTTTTCTGGTGTTCTTCGTCTTCTCCGACAATGATACGATTTTTCAACTTCAACTTTTCCAACGTCTAGTTCGAGCGTTGATTTCAACTTTTCTAACGACGCATTTGCTTGGCATCACCAACGTGAGGGAACTGGTTTTCGGAATCTCAGCAAGTGTGAATAGTGACTACCACTTGCATTGATCGAAATAGATGATGGGTCATTTTCATAATTTCAATCGAAAATTTGTATTATATAAAATAGCTGAGAGGTATTTAGGCTTTTTTGTCTTCTAACTGACGGTAAATTAACATCGGATATTTAGTACAAGATACCTATTAAAAATTTTCCCAAAGAATTAAGAATATACACACAAATTTTGGGTGTCGATTTGCCGAGAATTATGTGTCATTCTACCGGCGGCTATCATTCAATTAATTCCCCTCCCCTCATTCCTAGAAGTTTCTCTCGCCGGCGGTTGGGGTTAATTTAGGTAGATGGCCTCAAAAGTAGTAGATAAAAAAACGTTGATCTATGCAGTATGCATTGATTGAGACGAATGTTCCGACGTCCTCCCAAGTTGGAACCTTGGATTTTCAGCTTTTGTAGGCTGAACGAACGTTGGCAATTCCGAACTTCACAAAAGGGGAAATACAAAAAGAAGGGAGGGGCGGACCTTGCTTTCTTCTCAGGCGGCGGTAATGGATTCTTCTCTACCATCTTCTCATGCTGCCGGCTACGGTTACTTCTTGAGCGAAGAGTACGGTTTTTTCTCAGCTCAGGCAACAGTTTCAGCTTAGGTGGTGACAACGATTTTTTCTTTTCTTGAGCAACAGTGGTGCCCCATATTGAACAGAACCCTAATTTTACTCAGGATTATTTTTGTCTTTTTCAAATTTTATGATTTAAACAATTTAAAATAATATGACCCTTTTGGTAATTCTAGCAAATAAAGGCTATTTTTTACCCTTAATATTAATAAAAAATAAAATTTTTACATAATAATCAAAATTGAATAACTTTTATTAGAAAAATATCAAGAAAGCACAGTCGCTCGTCTTCCTCCTCTGCCTCTATATTCATCTGCTTCGATGGCACACGAGGGGGCAGAGGAGGCATTTCCATGGACTGCTCTACCTCTGTATCTAGCTTTGAAGAACTGCACATCTCAACTTTCATTAAAGTTGAAATGGAAATACCCATCCATTAAGGCTATTCCCCACTCTATCTTGCACACCTGAAGAAGAAACCCACTCTATTTTGTGCATCTAAAGAAGAAACCTAGAACACATCAATTGATGAGAACTCAACAGAACCACCGACGTTGGAGGAAGTACGGCGTACACTGTCTTCCCGATTGGATTCGCTGCAATTCCTGCAGCGACAAGAACCAATGTACCATGTTGTCTGCATCTGAAACAAAGATTTGTAAACCGTAGGCCATCGCCATGATGAGGTCCGTGAACCTGAAATTGTACATGATTGTCGAGGAAATGGATTTACACAGTTTTGGTTGATAAGGTGATAGGCCATCGCCGGAGGACTTACAGGAAGACGATGAACAAGCCTTTATTTGATATTTTCCCAAAAAAATACCTCATTTTAATTATTATATAAAAATAATATTTTTTATTGATATTAATGACAAAAAGTTGCCCTTATTCGCTATTATCCCAATTTACAATAATCTATAACGTGAGTTAATGGTAATGGACCTATTTTGAATATCCAGAGTAGCTAAGGCTCAATTTGAAAAGAGCACAAAGCATTGAAATTTGTATTATTTTATATGTGTGTTACTACCCCAAAGTACAGATTATTTAGGCTCCATTTGCAGAGTACAAATACAAATATATACGGTATAAATAAATATAAAATAATACAAAATATAAGGTTTTGCCATCTACAAATTTGTATTTATAATCCTTCCAAACTTGCCATATCTGTAATCTACCCTAATAAAAATAAAAACATAAAATCATTAATGTTCTAAAACGCCCCCTGAAATGAGTGCGGTGTCATATATCATGTTGGGAGTGAGTTGAACATATTTTGTTCGATTCTACCGGTGTGGCTGGTGCTAAAGCTAGCACTATATGCCTCTTAACCCTGCAGTCCTGCTCTTTCATGAATAAAATTCTTAATTTTATTCTTTGGTGTCTTTCCACAAAATCATTTTCACTAGTTGGAAAAACCCCATCAAAGTTCCTGACTAGCTGTAAATTTTCTACTTTGGTGTCTTTCCTCAATTTCTGTAAAAGAATACAGAGACCCGAGAACCAATTCCCATCTTTTATATCATTGTCATTAAGCTCCATCCATTTGGTAACAGGAGCATGATTCGACCAGAAAATTATATAAAAAACACAAGCACAGACTGCCCTCGAAAAAATAACCAAACCACTAAATAAACCGAGAAGCTTCATATTGCCATTGTAAGATTGCTTACTCCATGTTTTGTCTCTTACATGTGCTGTGAAACGGGTTACGAACCCTGTACGCAGGCAAGGGCTACAAAGAAAGGAGTACAGACAACAATGGAGAAAGCTCCACAGTCTAGTTGCAGAGCACACTGACCTACAAGGTTCGGCATTTTGATTTTAGTCCTAGTAAAAGGTTTGAACAGGAAGTCGAGTAGCGCCCAGTTATTGAGGATTCAACCTAGCCCATTGCAGTTGTTCCCCAGCGAAATGGAGCTTCTTGGATAACCCTCTTCACATCACATTGTGGTATCCAAAGTTCACCATTCTCGTTCGCCTTGGTTGCTAAGGCGCCGGAGTAATAGAAAAAGGTAGGGCAAAGGGGAGAAATGGGTTCTCTGAGCTTTGTCTGGATTTGTTGCAGGAAGCAGCAATTGGAAGAAAAAGGAAGAAACGGTGTTTCTGGTGCTCTGCTTCTGTTGCTTTCCCGCCCTTTTTGTAACCTCCTCTGAATTCCGATATGGGGTACAGTACACAGACAAAACGTCGCGGTTTTTGATAAACTCGGGACACCCACGTGAAAAGACAAAAGAAGCCCCTGCTCGACCAATAATTAAGGGTCTGCCCGGTTTATGGTAAATGAGAAGTGCCCAGCTCCAAAGAGTTTGAGAGAGAGAGAGAGAGAGAGATGGCAGGGTTGCTTGCTTGGGCTGCAGATGTCGTAGGAGGAGGTGGGCAAAACAACGATGAAGACGAGAAGAATCGATTCCCAGAAGTCGTGTTCACTCCCGAGCAACAGAAATATGTAGAGGAGTTAGACCAGAAAGCTGGTTCTCTCAGACGTACGATCCAGGATCTGCGATTGAGAATCCCTCCTCCTCACATCTCCCAACGCCTTCCACACCTCCATGCTCATACCCTTGCTTCTAATGCGGCTCTTGCCCTCCAATTGAATGCTCACTCCTCCACACGGGAGCAGGTAATTATTCAACATTTCAGTTGTTTTCTCGCATGGGTCTTTGGATACTTTCTCTCTCGCTAAAATTGTAGACGGATGCTTCTTATATTTTTGGTTCTTCCGTACGATTGTAATGAAGGTGTTTTCTTATGCGGGCCATTCGCAGTTTCGGTTGGGTTTCTTCCATCGATTAATAAAGAACTAAGGGTTCTGCAGAACTTCGTCTCCACTGAATTATGTTGCAGGGTTGCCATGTTTATTAGCACTTTCGTGGATTTTTTTTTCACTTGGTTTTATTTAATATTTTGGGCAGTTCCTGACTTTGAATCAGATATCATGGGTCGTCGAGCTTTTCTGCGTCTATGATTAGGTTGTTTTATGGGTCGTTTGGGGCTTCATGGTGCATTGATTCGAAAAATTAGGGGAAAACGAATAATTTAGTGAAGGCTAACCAACATGATTTTGTGTTCTTTCCCAATATTAATGCTGTTTTATTACCTACCTAAGTAACCTGAGAAAAGTGCATGAGTTCAAATCAGGTTCAGAATTTGCTGCCACTTTTGCTTAGCAACCTGATGCACATACCCTGTCATTATCGGTTTTATTTGTTTTGGATATGTTGATTTCTATTGATGAAGAGAAGGTTCTGATAGAATGAAGTTCATTTCTCACATTTTTTGTGGTTCTTTCGTAATCTAAAAACAAGTAATTCAAAATTAGTATCATCTACATAAGTAGATATTTTTCCCACTATTCATACTGTATCAGATGCCTACATCTTAGCATGTCAATACCGGTACTGTGGCTGTGGCTAAGTATCTTGATGTCATAGCTGCCAAGTCCACAAAATGTACTTCTACAACTACAAATTAATGGAAAACCTTTTTTTAGCAAAATTAATTGAAAGATTATTCACTCAAAAAGGTACATGAGAGGATATACAATAGCCAGAAAAGGCTGAGGCAGAATTACACAGGCAAAGTACTATCACTAAACAAATTTTCTGTATGAACCCCAAATTTAGCTAGGCTGTCAGCTACAGTGTTTAGCTCCCTGGGAATCCAAATCAGCTTCACATTCATTGAGTCCAAGACATCTCTAGCTTCAGACAACAAGTGTGCTAGCCTCCAAGGTCCTCCTTCTTTCTCCCTTAGCCTTTTTATTGTATTGGAAGATTCACCTTCAGTGGTTAGAAAGGACAGGCTCTTATTGTACATAGGCTGACTGCTGGTGTTATTGGCTTTCACTCAGATTTTAATACAATACAATACTTCACCTGTTTCAATAAAAAAAAAACAATAAGAAAGGAAGAGCTTCTGATTGGAGACCTGGGAGGCTTAGATCTTCTCAAATCAAATTCAAAATTTAAGTATTGAAGAAGAGTATTTACACTTCTACCAAAAAAGAAGAGAATTTACACTGATGGGAGGACTTGGTAGCACAAAACGATAATCTGGAATTCTAGATTGTTAACAAGAAAAGGAAAAGCTTCTGATACGTGGCAGATCATTAAAATTAGTTATAACATCTAGTGAATGTTAGGCAGTTGGTTCTACCTTCTACGTAATATAGTACACCATTATATCCAATTATTAGATGTGGTTCACCTTTTGTATAAGCAAATAAGGTTTTATATAAAGGTGCAGTTGCTAAGGTTCATTTTGGTAATCACTTAACCTGATTAACCTGATTATTGATCTTTTGGTATTTTTCATTATGGCTAGGCACAATTAAGAGAGGCTACGCTGCAGGAAGAAAATGCTGCATATGAAAAGGTTATATCAAATTGTGAAAAGAAAATACAGGAGAAGTTGCAGGAAGCAGATCATCTTCAGAGTAAGCTAAAGGTTAGGGACATATAAGTTTTGGAGCTTTTCTTTTTTTATATGCTACCATTGGAGATATTATTATTATGACTTGATGACTTGTGCTATTGAATTCTAAATTTATGTTGTTCTTATTTTCCCTTATGGGTCTTAATGTTTTATTTAGATTCAGGAATGCCTGTTCTGTAATTCTCTTGCTAGAAATGGGTAGCAAGGCATGCCTTATATTCCTAACTGCTAGGGATGAGAGGCTTAAAAGTATGCTGTAAACACAAATTACAACAAATTTCTTGTGAACATATCAGAAAATCACATTTAATCCATTAATACCTGGTATTACCCCCTCCCCCCTCATGCATTCAGGAAGCCTATTTTATATATGTAGAAATCTTGTAGACATATCATATTTGGATCTATTTTTTTGATAGTAAAGATAGTATTTATAAAAAAAGGCAGAGTACAAGAATAGTGTTGAGAAATCACTGAGAAAACATTGATAATCCCTATAAAATAGCAGGTTGCACCAACCACCACCTCTCTAGAGTTTTAACAACTACCTGCACTTCTTAATCTCTCTAGCACCCCCAAGAAAAAACACCCAAACTCTTTCCTACTTGGGGATCTCTCTATCTACCACCTTCTTAATCTCAATTTCGTTATTTATGATTTATCTGAACCACTTTGTCCAATGGACAAGCACATCCTCATCTTCTTGACCAAACCGTCTCTCCCTTTGTATCTGAGCAAACTTCTAGATTAACCAATTGATTGCTATTTGGTGGTAATGTTCTGAATAACTTCACCCTCCAAATCAGCCTCAAGACACTCCTTGGAAGAATCAGCAATGTTTCCATTCATATTCAAACTCAAATTACCTTCACATGAAATGGTTATTTCATGATTATTTCTTTCACCATGTCCTTATTAATCCCAGAATTTCCTCTCTTAACTAATACCTACCAAGCACTTCTACACACCACATGCAATGATTATTTCTTGCATGGATCTGCTCCAAAGAACATACCCTTTAGCCTTGAAAAAACTCTGAGATATGCACCAACTACTTCTAGATCCCTTCAATTGCTTGCCAACGTTACTGCAATTTTCCTTCAATGCGGATACTCCCCAAATTACTTTTAAGCTTTTGCCATTGGTAACATCACCTCCATTACTCTGATTTGTTCATTTTATTTGACCTGAACCAACCCGTTTTGAGTCATTCTCCTTGTTACATTACATTTAAACCAAACATACTCTCCTTATCTCTTTAACCTTTACCAAATTTGATTGAAGCTTCACCTTGCTGTTTAGTAGACATAGAGTTATAATCTAACTGACCTTCCTCTGCAACCGAGATGGACCATCTAACTAGTGGGGCTGCAACTTGGTTGGGCTCTAGTTGAGGGTTTGCTAAAATTTGAATGGGCATGGCGACCAACTTGCACCCCACTAACCAATAACCAATTCTGAAATCAACTGGAGAGGAAAGGCTTATGGGAGGAATTAGAAACAATTAGGGGTTTGTGGGAGGGCCCATGGTGCTTGGGGGTTGATTTCAATGTGATTAGGTTCCTACAAGAAACAAATAACCCTAGCCATAGGATTACTTCCAATATGAGAAAATTCAACCTATTTGTGGATTCTAATGAATTGAGAGAGTTGCCCCTTCTACAAGCAAAGTTCAGTTGGTCTAATTTTCAAGAGACATCAATTTGTTGTAAGTTGGATAGATTCCTCTTTTCTGTAGACTGGGAGGAAGGGTGGTGGGAACAATGGGGTTAAAGCAGGAGTTGGAAGAGATTTTGAGAAAAGATGAGATAAGATGGAGACAAAAATCTAGATGTCATTGGTTAAGGGAAGGTGATGGCAATACAAGCCTTTTCCACTTGGTAGCAAATGGGAGGAAAAGAAGAAATACCATCTCTAAGCTAGAGTGGAATGGGCAAACTCTAACTAGGGAAGAGGATATTGCACGGGCCTTTGTGGATCACTTCAAAGTCATCTTTGCTGGTCAAGGGGGAATTAGAGAATCTTTAGAAAACCTCGTTTGGAGAAGAGGCTCTAGGGCTTTGATGGAAACCATAGAGAAGGCTTTTGAAGTCCAAGAAATTAAGGAAGCAGTATTTTCTATGGAAAGGTCCAAAGCCCTGGGCCTAGATGGTTTTATGATGACTTTTTTTCAAGATTGTTGGGAAACTGTGGGTGTTGATCTAATGGAAATATTTGATAAATTCTTTTAAAGGGACAAATTCAACTCGAGGGAAAACACTACTTTGCCTTGATCCCCAAGAAAGCAGATGCTTCTCATCTAAAAGATTTTAGTCCCATAAGCCTTGTGGGTAGCTGGTAGCATGTATAAAATTGTTTCCAAGGTGTTAGCTAAGAGGATAAAAAAAGTCCTTTCCTCTTTAATCTCTCTAAATCAAGGGGCTTTTGTGTTTGGAAGACAAATAATAGACCAAATCCTCATTGCTAATGAGTGTGTGGAGTTTAAAAAAAAGGAGAAAGGAAAAAGGCCTAGTTTGTAAGTTGGACTTGGAGAAAGGCTAGGACTTGGTGGACTTGGATTTTCTTCTAGAAGATTTAAGGCTAGGAGGTTTTGGAGTAAGATGGTGTAAATAGATAAAGGGTTGTATCTCCTCCTGTCATTATTCCATACTGGTAAAGTGGGAGGTGATGTCAAAGAGTAGGGATAGGAAATATTAAACTCGGGAACTTGGCACTGCTGGGTAAATGGTTATGGAGGTTTCCTTTGGAACAAAAAAATTTGTGGCATAATGTAATTGTAAGCATCCATGGCATGGCAGACAACAGATGAGATGCTGGTCTTAATCCTAGGGCATCACGGGCATCTCCTTGGAAAACAATCCACAGCTTGCTACTTTCCTTCCTCTTGTATATTAGGTATGATACTTGTGTTGGCAATAAAGTGCGTTTTTGGGAAGATGTCTGGCTTGGGGATACACTTCTTAAAGACAGATTTCACCTATCTACTCCCTGTCCCTTAACAGAGGGAGAGTGATTTCTTCTGTGCATGCTAATGAGAACTCTTGGGATATAGGATTAAGGAGAGGGTTAAGGGAATCTGAAATGGGCCTAGTAGATGATCTCATTGCCCTTCTTAGTAGTGCTTTTTTGGACCTTTCTTGTCGGGACATTGGGAACTAGGATTTGGTCGGTATCCCCTTCTCGCTCTTTTATCTGTGTTTCCCTTTTCTCTACCCTCCTTCAATCCTCATGCCCGGTAGTTTCCTTCCCTACAAAGGAAGTTTGGTATAATCCTATACCTCCAAAAATAAGAGCCTTTTGCTGGGAGGTGGTGCTCCAAAAAATCAATACTATGGATAAATTACAATAAAGGAGGCCGAATCACCACCTCTCTCCACATTTTTGTTGCCTTTGTTT